GCATTTAAATGAATACACAAGCCCACTTAAGTAAATGCAGGAGCTTTTAAATAGATTAAAATATATTTTATTTTTTACACTCACTTTATCTATATTTTAAATTTTATACTTAAAATAAATAAGTAAAGATTGGGATCAGCTAACCCATTGCTAATTACGCGGCGCTGATATTCACCATTTGATGCGTTCAAAATGTACTAGTAAGATCGTTTTCAATGATTTATTCATTTTTTTATCAAATTTAAGTTTGATAAAAATCACTTTACTTGATTTGAGTTTTTTTTAAATATTTTTCAGAAAATTATATTTTCTTGTTTTTCGTATTTTTTTATTTTTATTGAATTTTTTAAAATATTTTAAGCAATATTTTTAATTTTGAGACACACTTAACATAAATACACTTAAAAAATATAATTTTCGTGAATTTTTTTAAAAAAAATTTACTAAATACCAAAAATATAAAAAAAAATTATGAAAATTCAATATATTTTTTGTATTTTTGCGTATTTATTAATTTTTTTTAAAAAAAATTCACAAATATTTTTCTTTTTAGATATATCTAAATAAGGTACATCTAAAAAAAGTAAAAAAAAATACTTAAAATTTTAAAAATATTTACTAAAAACAAAAAAAAAATGAAAAACAAAAAATTCAATTTTCAAAAAACTTAATTAAAAAAACTCAAACATGGTTTCATTAGATTATTATCAAATCAAGGATATCAAAAATCTTTAACCAAATTGAAGATGCCTGTGAGCTTTCATCAAATTACTGTTCGTAGATGTTAGGTTTTCACCACCGGATGTCTCACCAGATGTCCATCTCTAGGTAAAAATTTGTGAAAAAATATAATGGTCGGACGACTAGCCAAACATCCGCTCAGTCGTCTGCCCAATCGATCGATGTTTCGATGAAAGGTCAAATTCTACCATTGAAGCACTTGATATCAAATGAAATTTTAACTCAAATTTGATAATAATAAAAAAAAATAATAATAAAATAAACAGCTAGAGATGCCCTAATATTTTGATGGATTCATTTTGTAGATTTGTTCAGATTAAAATCTTTTATTCTCATTAGTTCAAATTTTTAAATAGTAAGACGAAAACACAGTGACAACAAAATCAAAAAATAAATTCTTAAATAAATAAATAAATAATGGAAAAAAAGTATTTTCAAATACAAGTTTTTACTTTTTTCTCTCTCTACCATCTTTAGCCACCCTTCGCTGTTGTCAGCACTGATTGTCTTTCGATGACTCCGTTGACTAGCTGATAATCACTGTGACATTTAAAACATCTTTGTATATCAAATAATCTTTTTATATAAATTTACACCGGCTTGTTGAGCCGAGCAAAGCCCAGTAGGGCTCATGGCTTAGGACCTAGCAATGTGAAGACATTTCACACACTTCGACCAAAGCACAAAGTGTTGAGCCGAATGGGGCCATGGGTATCCGACGATGATATTGGACTGGGTTGGAATTACGCTAGGTCAAGGAGCATTTAGCTCAGTATTAGGCCAAATGGGACTGTAAGTATCCGATAATGATATTGGACCAGGCAGGAATTAGGCCAAGTCGAAGAGTATTTAGCTCAGGTGAAGCTTAGCACAGATCCTCAGTTCGTTACTCGATTGCCTTTGGGCTAAGATGAGTGAGGAGTGGCTAAGTGTGCAACGACTACAGGAGTAATTGGGATGAATGCGTTAGCCCAGCCCGATTGTCATTTGAGATTAATTTGTACAAACCTACAGGGTTAGGAAGCTTGAAGATAGGATTTATCCTTACGAAGTAGACTCCTAGCCTTGTTTGTCTAGGGTTATAGGGAGGAGATTGGGTTTGGTAGTGACGAGAAAATTGAGGGGTGTTTGTTTTGAGAGATAGGGAGGGGATTAGTAATCTCTTGGTACTAGTAACGAGGAGGAAGTGAGATTGATAAGGAGGAGATAGAAATGGTATTAGAAAAATAGTGAGAAGATTAGAAATTTTTTTATTTTTTATATATTGGGAATTTTTTTTTAAATATAATGTTTAATTTTTTATATTTTTTTATTTCTTTTATTATTTTATATAAAAATAATTTAACAATTCCTCACTATCAATCCCCTCACTAACAATCCCCTCAATATTAATTCCTTTACTATGAATCTCTTCCATTCTATCTCTGAAAACAAACGAGACCCCTAATGAGTTGTGTTATAAGTGAGAATTATAAACCCACTATAACTCTACTAAGCTAGAAACGTAAAAAAAACCACTTGGTTCATTGAGAACAAAATAATGCAATTCTAGACACTCAGACTTCCAGTGCTCCCCTGATATTGATCCTAAAGCTAACTTAGGCATCGAAAGAGATTTTTCTAACACACAGCTATATACACCCACCGGTAGTGATTTGATCTCCATTTTGGATATTAAACGGTGTCATTCACAAGGATCTGGATTTGAGCTCAATTACGAGGTGTTCACGTGCAGAAAAATTTAAGATTTGTACGATAACTTCTTCTTCTTTTTTTTTTTTTTAAATGAGAACTCAGCCAAACAATGTGACTATTTTTATTTTTTTTTCACTATATTATATTTCTTAGAATTTATCAATTCATTGAATCTAGACCGTTGGTAAGGAGTCCGAATCCTCGGCCGCACAACCCTGCAGCCATCCCTGCTGCACCCCAAAACGACGTTATTTTGGGAGAAATTTCAATTTTTAAAAAAAAAAAAAAAAAAAAAAAAAAAGACAGAAACCAGAGGGGGGAAGAAGAGGGGAGAAGAAGGGGAAAGGCAGATCTGAGCAAACCAGAAAGGGAGGAGCAGAAGGAAGGCAACTAGCCTTCACCCACCGCCATCGCCGCCTACCTACTCCTCTCTATCTCTTTCTCCTTCAACATTGAGGCTCCGATCCAGCCCCCCTCCGTCCTCTCTCTCTGCAAAAAAGAGCCAAAAAGATTCAATAACCCACTCATCTCTCTCCTCACTCTTCTTCTCTAATCATGAATCAACAACCCACTCATCTCTCACCTCACTCTTTTTCTCTAATTGTTCTGACCAAAGTTTAGATTATCAACCTGTGAAAGAAAAAAAATTAGAACTAGTTAAAAATTATACACACACATTCATCAACATTTATTTTCTAGTTTGATGCTTAAATTTTAAAATAAAAAATCAATAGAAAAAACCCCAAAATCAGTCGAAAAAATCCCATCAACAAAAAATAGATCCAGTGAGGAGTTAAACTACTTGTTTGAAGGAGGAGGTGTCTGCTTGGACGAAGGTGGTCGAGTACGGGTTGTTGGGTTCGGATTTGGTAATGGGTTTGGGTGGAGGTTGGTGGCTGAGACCATTGCTGCTGTTGCTACTGCTTGTACTGTTGGTGCTATGGCTGTTTGGAGATGGGTTTTGATTTTCTTGGAATTTTGATAGGTTTTCCATTGATTGTCTAAAGAAAAAAGGGTTAAAGAGGAAGAAAAAGTGAGAGGGTTAAAGAGGAAGAACGGGTGAGAGGGAGATGTAACCGGTCGTCCTCTCTCTCTCTTCTTCCCCTCTGGTTTCTGTCTTGTTTTTTTTTTTTTTAAATTAAAATTTCTCTTAAAATGACATCGTTTTAGGTGTGCGGTAAGAATAACTACAGGATTGTGCGATTGAAGATTCGGACTCGTTGGTAATATTATAATCAATGTCTTTTGACGTGGGATCAACTAATGCCAATGACATGACATTTTGAAGTTTCTTTCTTTTCTTTTCTTTTTTTTTTCCTTATAGTATACTACTCAGTGCTATAGCGCATAAAAACAAGATGCCCACTTTTTGTGCCTAGTTTTGATAATAGCTCATGAATTTGAGGATATATTTTTAATTTACACAAACGTTGAAAAGAGTCATAAGTATTATATTGTTAGTGTCAAAAAAACGTATAAAAACTATATCAAAATTTATTGATATGTCTCAAAATATTTTGAGATATGTGAAGATTATATTAAGATTATAAGCCTCCGTTTAGGAAGTTGGTTGATTTTTTAACTTTTTGATTTTTTAACTTTTTGATTTTTTTTTGATTATTTTAGTCTGGGCTAAAAAGCTTAGTTTGGGAAGGACTTTTTAACTTTTTAATTTTTTTGATTTTTTTTATGAGAGAAGAGTGTAATGATTATGGGTTAGATGTGATGTTTTTGTTTGTTGTGATTAAAATAGCCTATTTTGTCTTTTATGACTATTTTAGTCACAAACCAACTTGCCAAACACCACCTGAACATTTTGTTGTTTTCCTTTCAAAAACAAAAACAAAAACAAAAACAATACCAAATAATTACATGCCCTCTCCTATTTAAAAAACTTTTATAATGGTGCACAATCAGAACATTTTGACTTTAAGCCCCGTTTGTTTTGGGTACATTGGATGGAAGGGGATTAGGATGAAAATATAAATATTTAATATTGTGTTTGTTTGTGGAGTTGGGAAAATAAATTAGGATGGAAGAAGAAATATAGATGGAGGTTGAAAGGGGAATTGGGATAGAGCAAGTGAAGGTGGTATTAGAAAAATAGTGAGGGCATTAGAAAATTTTTTATTTTTTTATTTTTTATATATTGAATTTTTTTTAAATATTAATGTTTAATTTTTATATTTTTTTATTTATTTTATTATTTTATATAAAAATAATTTAACAATTTCTACACTAACAACTATCATCAAAACAAACACAATTTACTTAATCTCCTCACTATCAATCCTCTCACTAACAATTCTCTCACTATGAATCATTTCTATTCTACCTCTGAAAACAAACGGGGCCTTATTGTCTTAGAAACGGCTAGTATTCATACAATATAAGTTAGAGAGAGAGAGAGAGCGTTTTATATGCTTATATTCCTTTAGACACTCAATTTAATAAATAAATAGCTATACTATATTTTGATCATGAAAGAGAATCCAAGATCCCCACCACTGAACTACCAACATTTTAGTTTGCCAATGATAGTAATACTTCAAACCATATAAAGATTAAATGCAAATATAAGGCATATAGATCTATGCATACATTTATATACATAATACATGTAAAATTGTATATCTGCTTACATTGCTGGAATCATTTTGCACCCTATGTAATCTCTAATCTCTTCAACAACCAAGGCACTCAGTCCCACACATTGTGAAGCATTTACCTTTACATAACAGATATCACTGTCAGATGCATATTCATAACCTTGCATCTCAAGCACTGAAACATTACTTGTGAAAGCATATAAATTTCATTACACAACCAGTCTATAGTAGAGCAGTGATTCTAACTTGTATCTGCACTGAATCGATCATAACAAGAAGCAGCAAACCACAGTAATGATGTAAATCTGTATAGAGAAGACCAAAATGTGATAGTAGACGATCGAACGGTTGGGTCTTTAAGATCGCATAATCATAGTTCGATCATGCACTGAAACCCTTTTGAAGAGAGCTCCGATGACTGGAAGGAATGGTGATGCAAGCTTGCGCTGAAGCCTCAGCCATCTGATCCTTCTGGATTCCAGCATTGCAGATGTTAGCAATGGAGCGCATGTGCTTCATTCCATATTGGGATAGTGATCCACAATGTGTCTCATATGTCCTCACCTGCAAAAGCGGCAAAAATACTTGGGCTATGTTTGGTAGAGGGGAAAACAAAGGAAGGGAAGGGAAAACAAAATGCTTGGTTAGGTAGGAAGAAAAGGGAAGAGAAATTTTCTTTACTTTTCCTCTGGTTGCAAGAGAAAGTTTGGGAGAAATTTAAAATTTGTTGTACCTCAAGCATTATGTATTGAACCTCAATTCAAATTTAGGATTTCTCTTCAAAGCCAGCATGTTAAAAAACTCTATCAGATCCCTTGTAATTATATAAAGTTTGCCCATCAAAATTGCTTGTATGTACAAAGATTTTATTGAGCAGAGGGAAAAAAAATTTACTTACTTTCCTATATTATTTTATTTTTCTCTCCTACCCAGTCAACCACTACCGATGAGGCTTAGAGGGTGGCCTCTGAATCTTGAGTTTACCATCCTGAGGTGGGTCCAAAGGGCCCCTGCCTAGGACGCATTCTCAGTCATTAAAAAAAGATCAACCAAAGAAGAAAAAATATTTTTTTAAATAAACATAAAAATTCCCTCCTCTTCCCTTCTTTTTCCTCCTACCAAATATACCACCACCTCTATAAATGTTGCTAACATCATTATTGAGAAGCTTTCCCATACAAATCAAATGGGTTCTTTAATGGAGCAAAGTAATATATATATATAGTGATTTAGATAAAATGGGAAAGCATAAATGGTGGTAAAGAGTATGCTGAGAACTGAAATTTACCAGAGTTTTGAGGCAATCCCAGTCATCAACAAGAGGCTGCCCTGCAGGCCTCACAGTTTGAAGCAGCTCTGAACCCTTTTCAATTCCAAACAAAAGCTTTCCGATCATATTCATACTATTGTCTATGTGCATTCTATGTGACATTGCCTCGACAAGCTCCTTCTGAGCTTTAAGTTTTCTGGGAGAGCCTTCTCGAGCCTTTTGGAACTGTCAACATTATAAAAAGTAGAAAACCCAAAGCTGGTCAGATGATGAAAGGAAGAAAGTTCATTGTTCTACAACTTACAGATTTTTAAAAGCATGCATAATAATTCGATATGGTACAGAAAAGGTTGTACAAAACCTTGTGCCAGAAATGTAAAAGATCAGCATCACGCTGGTTAACAGCTTTTGATCTTGAAGATGGTCGCAGGACGTTGTCATCCACAAAAGTGTAGTTATCATTTGCAGGATTTGTGCCCATATACAGGAAAATATGGTCTACGCTAAGGCCTAGATCGCCATATTGCATGACATGAGAACCATAAGCAGAATTGTCATTTGAAGTTCTATCTTTAACCTGCAAAAGCAATGTAGTATAAAATCAATTTGAGGGATTCACAAAAACCCGATACTCCTCTATGCAATATAGATTCATGGTAACAAACATCAACTACTTTCAAACTTCTTTTAAGATGTGTAACGAGCTTTTACTAATTTTTTTCAAGAAGTGTTGTATATCATTAGCTCTTACCAGTTCATACTGCTGCCGCAGAGTTTCTGTCCGCAGGTTGTGGATGTCACTGTTCACAAGGTCAGAATTAATTATCACCTTGCAGAAAATTTAAAATATAGAAATAGTGCATGACGATTTTTATTTTCACATGGTATAACATCTAAATATTGATGATGGGGCCAAGCCAATCAAGGCAGAACTTGCATGAATGGTGTTGATATAACTCAAGTCAGATGCATACCATCCAGCTACATATTGATGGTTATTTTACTTGTAATATAAAATTATCATTCCTTTGTTTGAGTAGAGTGGAATTGTGAATCAACTCAAAACATGTAAATTGAATTTCTGTGTCAAGTTTCCAACAACTCAGCCAAACCGCAAACAGATAACTACCTTCAATTTCCAGAGCTGTGCATTATTAGTAAGATTACTTATAATATTGGTTATCGTGATCCTCATATTAGTTGGGTGCTTATTTTTTGTTCCTTCCTCAATGACAGAACTCGGAAAATCAGAAAAGTAATGCATACCAGTCCTCCATCCAAGCAACACTATATAAGTCACCCAAACAGGTTTCATATTCTACAGGAGGACTGGGATACTCTCCAGGGCAGTAGGTTCCCCAGCTACTCTCTTCTGCATTGGATGCTGTGGTTGCATATATATTTAAACCTTCAGGAAGCAGACCCTCAAAGATACTCCCAGACTCACAAGCTTCAAGATAAAATACCTGCAATTGTACAAAAAATGGTCCAAATTTTTTTTATTTCACCAAGACTAATGTTAAAATGCATTTAGCAAATGATCGTAAAGTTGTAACTTACCAAGCTTTTGTAGGTCCCAGAAGCATGCTTCTTTTTCAAGACATCAATCAGATTGTCTGCATAGATATAAGGACTGGTAGGCATCCCTGAGAACATATTCACAAGATGAATACCAAGCCGTAAAGAATTAGATAATTATCTAAAAGCCTAAATACACCAAAGATCAAGTTCAATAGAGAAAAATAGTCATCCAAAAACCTTAACCTTCTAAAAATAAGAGTGATAATGACTAGATACACACAAATATAGGGCACCCAATAATTAAATTATATTACATTTTTCTTCTTTTCCAGTGTATTAGCAGACAATTCTGAGTTCACTCCTATGTGCAAAGTACAAAAGACAGATTTCAGGTTTGACATAGTCTAGGACCCCAATACCTAAGCCAGATCTTAACCATAGAAAACTGCTGGCACGGACAGAGCTACATAGGGTCCCCGGGGGGGTTTTGGGTCCCCGGGGGGGGGGGGGGCGCATTTTTTTTTGAAAATTACACTTTTACCTCTAATTAGAAAAAAAAAAAAAAAAAATTCACTTAACTCCCTTTTAATTTTCAAATATGTTTCAAAATCTTTATATCTCATCTTTCTTTTCACTTTCTTTTTAATAAATTCTTCATAATTTACCATTATAAATGTTTAATTTAATCAAAATATTCTCTTATAATTATTTCTCTCCCTCTCATTTCTCTCTTGTTTTTCTCCAAATCTATCTTTTTCTTTTTTTTCTTTTCTCTCCTTTCTTTTTTTTTTTTTTGTATGCATGTTATTACATTTTAAATTGTGGTTATCATCATATTTAGGGTTAGTTTGGCATGAACTATATAATCCATCTTTTTATCTTTTTATCTTTTTTTCATCACATCACCTCTCTACTTTTCTGCACATCTTTTCGTAAAAAGACAAAAAGTGCACTTTTTTAGGACACCCCAAACCAACCCTAGTAACTAAAATAGTAAATAAAAAAAGCTTCGGTTAATTAAAACATATCTAAGGCACATAGTTTTGACATCACGTTGATCTTTGGTCATTCTATCACTAAATGAAAATTGGATTTGGTTAAATTTTGTATTTGTCATCACTAAGACTTAATGGTGCCCCCATGAATTAAAATCCTGGCTCTGCCACTGACTGGCGGTGATCATGATCAAACTTACTGTGTACTTCCAAATAACTTACTTTTACTGTCAAGAAAAATGCAAGGGATCTTTAACAAAATTAATATTTATCATCAAAATTAGAGCCTAGGTGTACATATTAAAATCTTAAATTCCTTGCCTACCAATAACACGGTGAAAAAAGGAAATTTTATTTTCTCTTTTTCCCCCACTTTGCCAGATAAGTATAACAGATAGGCACCAAAAGAGATTGAAAATGGGAAATTTCTAGACTGGAAAATTCCAAAAGTATCCAGTTTGCAATTTTCTGAATTGATGAGGGGCCAAGATATTTGAAAATCTTGTGGTTCCTTAGTTGCTCAAATATAGATATAGACCAATAATCAATTTAAGCTAGCTGCCAGCGAAATGCAGATCGAAAAGCATTTATGAAACAGCAAGAGAGAGTGCTACTAACCAAGCACCCCAGGACCCCCATGATCCGTGTAATATATGAAAATATGGTCATTTGGACCACTATCCACAACCTTTCCACTGCCCCCTGTAAGTGCAGTTTTGTTTCCAAGAATAACGGCAAAAAAGTTGTTGACAGTAACATCGTCACCAATATAATCCTGGTCACATGAAAATCTACGAAATGAGCGAGAAAGAAGCAAAATTTCATGATTTCACAAGTGGGGTAAGGTATGAAAAGATACAAACCTTTGGCACTCCACTGTATACATCACTACCATGTGGGCTGTTAATGATGACTCCAGGCCTGGGGTTTTCTTCATTGAAAGCAATGTCATCATACATGAAAACCACAATGTTCTCATCTTTAAGCCCACCTTTCTTCAGGAGTTGATAGGCATGACAAACATCAGCCTGAAAAGGAAAAACCAATCAATTAAGGGAAAAACACATATGTAGGAGACAATTTACATTAACCACAAAAATAATCTTCACATCATGTAATATTTTTGAGTACAAACATGCAATCAGATTAAGCTGTAGACAGAAGACATAACACATATGTACATACATATATATGCCGTACAATTCATGGTATTAAACCATGAAATAAATAGAGTTAAGGTTATATTTTGATCCCCTTCACCAGTCTTTAACTTTGGTCTCCCTCTAATTATTCTTAAAAAATATATATATATATATATATAAAAATAAATAAACTCTAGCATCCATTACTTTTATTTTTTATTTTTTATAAGCAAGTAATTCATTACTACTTAAAACAACAACTGGTTTCTTCCTCCATTCCACCAACATCATCAATAAACAAATTGATTTTCTGATGATTTTTTTTTTTTTTTTTCCTTTTTATATAAACAACAACCAACTATATGTGCACTCCATACAACAAAATATTACTCAGTAAAGAACACCCATTAAATTACTCCAAAACAGTGGCTGTTGGTTCTTGATACCAAATTAGTACCAATCCTTATTAGGAAGTGGAAAGAATCAGACAAATTTAAACAGTGTTAAGTCAGACAAAAGCATACATAGAAAGCATATAATGGTATAATTAACATAACAACAACATCAGTAACAATGTCTCATTATATTAAATACAGATAGTGCAATGCTATCACCAAATATGCTGTGTAGCAGTATTCAATGGAGGTTCACTAACAAAAGCTATCTATAAAAACCAAGTGGCCATCCAATTAAAAGGAAAAAAACAAAACAACCATCAAGTTTCTAACCATGGGACCCACAAAGAGCTCAACTTTATTCGAGGTCCGTTGAGCATGACTTAAAAGTGGTCCTCCCATACACAATATAATTAATACCCATGATCAGTGATAGTTTAAAAGATCAAACTTCTCTAAATAGATGCTAAATTATCAAAATGCTATGGAAGTAGATTGAATCACTTATTATCTATATTTTTTGCACTTCCAAACATAGGTCTTACCTAATATGGAGTTTTTGTGTTTGAAAATTAAACACTCAGCACCCAAACAAATGTACTAGGTTCAGCCTTATTTATTTAAAATTATGCAAACCCAAAAAATGGAACAAAAGTTTTGGAGTTTTGTTTAAAGCTTCACCACTGAATATTTTCCTCCACACCCAACAGAATTAAATTTCACAGTTTCCACAACAATTTGTCCAATTAGTTTGTAGAAAAAGAAATACAGAAATCTACAAGAACAACATCAACAATACTTCTACTTTTTGTCTGAAATAATGAAGTTCATAATAATTATACCGATTCAAGCTCATTTGATCAAACAAACTGCCTACAAAATCATACATACAGCAAATAAACGTTTAGAATTTTGAATCCTCTGGGTCATGTTCTTCTGGTTCCAAAAGTTTCAGGATAATTCAAAATTTAAAATAAAAAAAGACAGGTTTTTCTTTTCCCACCTTTTCTCAGCAACCAAACAAAACATAACTGGAAATTAAAATAAAAAATAAGACAAACAAACAAACAAAAAAAGTAAGAAAATCACCCAGCTAATATCGAAACATAAGTAACAAAAAAAAAATACTGAAACCAAGTGCTTAAATTATGCATATAAACCATAAATAACCCTGATAATCCCATAATCGAATGTAAAATCAGTAATAAACACCTAAGACTCAAAGATCACAAACACGAACAAAAATTAAGATAGTCACTCCAATTCAAATAAGATTTTTTCTTTTCCCGCCTTTTCTCAGCAACCAAACAAACCGTAACTGGAAACTTAAATCAAAATTAAGACAAACAAACAAAGTAAGAAAATCACCCAGTTAATATCGAAACTCATAAATAACAAAAATAAATAAATACTGAAACCAAATCCTGAAATTATGCATATAAAATATAAATAACACCGATTATCCACATAATCGAGTGTGGAATCAATAATAAACACACAAAAATTAAGATAGTCACTCTAATCAAATAAATTTTTTTTTTCCAGATGATTAAACTCAGATTAGTTGAAAAGCGTGATCACCTGGTGCCTGTAATTCCAGTAACCACTAGATCCCGCAAGAAGAACCGCCCATCTCGTCCCCACGGAATCATCATCGCCGTCGTTGCTATCATCGCCGGAGAAGAATCTGGAAGTTTCCGACGGTAATCTGATCATGTCACGGCCATCGACGGCGATCGAGGTGACGAGAAGGAGGAGGAGCACGTCGGTGGAGAACCGAGTCATGGCGTTTTCCGGCGACTGGTGGTGTGGTGTGGTGTGGTGTGGTGGGAGGAGAGTTGGAAGAATGGGTGGGCTACTTAAAGGGTGTGGATGGGTATATGATAGCGAAGATTGTTTGACTTGAATTTAGTAATCGATATAATTCAAGGAATTTTTAAAATTTATAATATAATTAATGGAAAATGATTGGTGGCCCTAAAAAATTTGCCCCTAATGCCCCTAATTTCCATTTTTGGAAACTGTTTCTTTTTTTCTTTCTTTTTGTGGATGGGTATATGATAGCGAAGATTGTTTGACTTGAATTTAGTAATCGATATAATTCAAGGAATTTTTAAAATTTATAATATAATTAATATGTAAAATAAATAATGATGTCATAGTTAATATTAGTTTGTGCATATACCGGTCTGACTTTGATTGAAGGGGTTGGATGACGTGGAATGTTGATAGCCGTTGATTGGAGTAGTTTCTTTATGATTGGGCTGTGTAGTGGGTCCTACTACGATAGCCTTTCATTTATTGATACAACCATATTACAATTATTACCATTACCATCTATTATCATTATGTGTTTTTTTTTTTTAACTATATTATCATTAGTTCGCTTGCTTTTGCCCATGATGTGAACCATGATTTATTTATTCATGCATTTTTACATAACTTTATAATAAACAAAAAAAAATTAATATTAAAAAAAATTATAAATATGAATTAGGATAAGAAAACTATTTTTTGGTAGGAATTATATAAGTAATTTATAGTTTATTTTGATTTAAAAATTTATGTTAAATTATTTGGTACAATTTTTATTTATAATTTATTAGGGAGCTTAAATAAACTCAAAAAAGTTGATTTTTCGAAAATCCTCATTTAGCATGTAACACTTTTAGTTTAAAAGTTAAAAAATTATTAAAAAAATTTAAAAAAACCTATAAGCACATTTTTCCGTAAAAAACTCAAAAGTCATTCAAAATATACAAGTTTTGTTTATCTCATATTTTAATCAAAAGATCAAAAAATTACTAAAATAACATGTTCTCAAAGAAAAAAATGCTTTTAACTTTGGAAAATTGTGATAACTCAATCCGTACTATGCTTAATTATATATGTGATTATGTATTTGATATGAATTTGCAAGTTTAAGTATGGAAAATATGTGAATTTTGAAAAATATCTATTAAAAGTAGGAATATCTGTTGTAATTGAAACTTTGAACTGAAATTGAAAACCGTAGAGGCACGATAAACAAAAACTGACTTTATATCTATGATCAGCATGATTTTTAGAGCCTTTAATGAGATTTTGAAAAATTACGATTCATAATGATTAAATTGGAATTTTAAAGCTAAGTCACATATATGTTGGCCTCTTGTGTTCCTTATTGTGCTTAAAAGCTCCATAGTGTGAATTAGAGAGAAAGGAAGAAGAGGAAGCTACAGATTTGAAGGAAATCAAGGGAAAAACCATAGATTTGAACTAAGGTATTGAAAATCACTCACAAACTTTGATTCTAACTTATCTTTGTCAAGAAATCAAAAAGAGATTAGGGGTTTGAGCTAGGGTTTTGAGTTGTATAGTGGTTTGAGCTTAAGGCATGAGATTGAACCATAATATCTCCATCTTTGTTGATTTAAGTCCATTTTTATGATTGACCCATGAAACAAATCTTAGATGATCTATGGAAACAAGTTTTGTTGTAAGATTATTCATGGTTTATATACTTTGAATTTGTTTATGTAATGTATGAATATGGGAAAAAGATGAGACCATGGAATTGTTGTTGATGCAAGATTGATATGTTTAATGTAGAATTACACTTGTATCATGCTTAGATATCATGTTTTCAAGTTGTTTTTGCATGAATTTGAGCTTGGAAATGAGTTGGAAGGTTTGGCCTTTTTGGCCATTTTCGGACTGTCTGAGTTTGCCCAGATCGCAGAAGCGGCCACGGGCACCGCACGAGCGGAACATGAAGAAAAAAAGAAGTTTTGATTCTGTTTCTTGGGCGCACGAGCGGCCGGTTTTTCCGCTCGAACGGATTTGGGCCGCACGAGCGGTGAAGACTTCCACTCATGCAGAACCTCTGTCTCAGCCTAACATCAAAAAGGCATATCTCCTTCATCCAAACTCCGTTTTAAGCAATTATTGAGCCAAAATTCAAGCCCAAGAAGTCTAGTTTCTAATGGTGGTGGTCTCACATCCAATTTCTAAGTACACAAATAGATATGCTCAAATTAGTGAAAGCTACTTATTTTCTTTTAACTGTTTCATGCCAATTCCTATCCTAACTTAGTTTCCTTTTGCTTCTTGCTATTTCCTTAAATCTTAAATAAGTAAGCATGATATGTTCAATGAAAAACGTATGAAATTATTTTAGGAAACATTAATTTAAGTCATGAACATTTAGTGTCGTTTAAGGTACATCTTTGGAACATGCTTTGTACGCGGTTTACATGTAGAGAAAATTAGCATTGAACGCTTGAGAGAAATTAAAGAAAAGTGTACGAATTGAAACAAATGATTTGTCGGATGTGTATGCAACATGTTTTGTGTAGGTCGAGCACTGGAGGCAACGCCACAAGACCAAATGCACTGTGAGTAGTAATATAGTACACTTATACTCTTTGTTGCGTATCTTGAATCATGAACGGTGATTGGCGCCAACATTATGAATTGATTGGAAATAATGAAACTTCATTGATATTATATGACATGTGTCAAATGATTGAGCCTGAGGCCGCTTGTTAAAATAATTGGGCCCGGAGCCGCTTGTTAAATGATTAGGCCTACGGCCGCTTGTTAAATAATTGGACTCGAGGCCGTTTGTTAAATAATTGGGCCCGAGGCCGCTTGATAAATGATTGAACCTGAGGTTGCTTGTTATATAATTGGGTCCGAGGCCGCTTGTTATATGATTAGGTCTGAGGCCGCTGGTTATGATTGGGCTCGAGACCACTTGACATATGATTGGGCCCGAGACCGCTTGTTATATGCTTGGGCCTAAGGCCGCTTGGTTTATATGATTATGGATATTGAGAGAACCTTATGATTATTTACTTACATTGTTTTACTGTATTATTACTCATTGAGTTTCACTCACCCAATTTTATATATGTACATGTAGGTAATCAGCAGCATGGAGCACACCTCTAGAGTCAGCTTCAGGAGCCTTTTGTGACCCAATCGAGTCATGCCTCCGAGACGGAGTTTTGTCTTGGCTCACACCACACTTTGGCCCTATTATGTTTTTGCTTTCATGTCTTGGGTTGTAAACATTATGTACAATTTTCCTCTGGCTCTTATATTTTTGATGGGTATGTATATGTATTATTGTGTTACATGGTTAACTCTATGATTTTGCTCATGATTGGCACAGCTCAATGGACTTCTCTTTATTATATGCTTCCGTTTGTGGCCCTATTAGCATGAATATTCTATATGATCGTTTGAGGCCTTCGGTAATCTACGGATTACTGGCCGGTTATAACTCAAACTGTTAGGGCGCGGGTTCGGGTCATGACAAAAATGCTATGGACCCCAAATGAATTACCAAATTTTATACCAAATCTCTCACATGGGTGTGATGTGCGTGAGTCCCACACCCATGTAAGAGGTTTGTAAAAAATTTAATAATTTATTTGGCCCCTAACATAACTCTTTAACTTTTAATATTTTATTATTAACTTTTAACTTAAAATAATTTCTACCAAACACTCTATACTATAGAGTAAGGGTGCAACTTATGCGAGCTCAAATCGGGCAACCCGAACCTAATTCGATTTTTTTTAGGGTTTTGACAGGATATTTTTTAAATTCGGTACGGGCTGGGGTAACGGAAATCCGAATTAAATTTGGGTGGGTTTGGGCATAAATGTCAAACAACCCGAACAATCCGAAACTCAAATTTTACATATATAGATATATGAAAATATTAAATATACATATAAATTAGTAGTCATTACATGATATTAAAGTAATTTAGATTATTAAATCATATTGAATATTTATTATATATACAAAATAACATAAAATTTTACTTTTTTTTTTATTTTCACTCATAAATTGTAAATACTACTATAGCAGTATCTCTCTTACATTATATAAATTATTTGTTTTGATGGTATTAATGATTTTTTATATAAAAAAATGTAAATAGAGTCAAATTTTAATAATTTAATAATGTAGTTTCACAAAAAAAAAAAAATGAAATTCATTTACAATTCGGGTTTAACTTGAGTCATGTTTGGGCAGGCAACCTCAAGGTACAATTTGGGCTTGGGCGGACCTGGGCAAGTCTCAACACAATTTAGATTGAGCTTGGATAACATTCAAATCCGACTGAATCTGCCCGAGTTGCACCACTACTATAAAGAGGGATATGATGATTTTTTTTCTTACTTGTCATCATTATTGTTGTATACAAGTTTTTTACTTTTTTTTTTTTTAAATTATTGAAACATGATTTAATTCAACGTGTGAAAGTTATAAGGATTATGAGGTGTTTTGGGAAGTTGATTAAAAGTTAATTTTTTGATTTTTTTGATTTTTTTATCTTTTTGTGTGTAAAAAATATGAGAGGTGATGTGGCCTAAAATGAGTTAAAAGCCAAAAGCTATCTTTTAACCAGCTTCCCAAATGGACTCTATATATTATGTTTGAAAAATATTACATCCCAAATAATCTACCAAATTTTCTATCAAATCTCTCATATGGGTGTGAGACCCACACAAACCCACATGTGGGTCTCACACCACCGATGTGAAAGGTTTGATAAAATATTTAATAGATTATTTGGGATTCCTAACATAACTCATTATGTTTATACTTAATATTTCTTGGGCTAAAACAAGAGAACTAATCAGCTTGTTTGGTTCTGGTTTTTAGAAAATAATTTTCAAAAAATTCTTCTTTTTTATTTTTCGTATTTTAATATTTTCAATGAATTGTTTTTAATATTTTAAGCATTTTTTTTAATTTTTAGACACACCTAACATAAATACACTTAAAAAGTATAATACTTGTGAAAAAAAATCTTTAAAAAATACAC